GAGGAAAGTCCCCTCTATCTTCTATTTGTATTTCTGTAAGTTTTTTAAAAAATCAACAAGGGGTGTTAAATTTTTTTGAATGCTTTTTCTCTATTGATTGATAAGATCATTCAGTTTTTTTTACATTAGCCTTTTTATATAGTGGATTACATTGATTATTTTTTGAATATTGAACTGGTCTTGCATCCCTGGAATAAAGCCCATTCATGGTATAGAATTCTTTTTGTATCATGTTGAATTCCATTTGCTAGTATTGTGTTAAGGATTTTTTTTTTTTTTTTTTTTACATTCATATTCATGAGGGTTATTGGTTTCTGTCTTTGTACTGTCTTTGTCTGGTTTTGGAACTAAGGTAATAGTAGTTTTATAAAACAAATAGAGAAATGTTTTCTCCTCTTATATTTTTAGGAAGGGATTATGTAGAATTGGTGCTAATTCTTCCTCAAACATTAGATCAGATTTTCCAGTGAAACAATCTGGGCCTGGAGATTTGTTTTGGGGGGATTTTTAAATGACAAATTAAATTTCCTTAATACTGTAAGTCTAAAGTATTTCATATTGAATGATAACGGTGGCTTGTGTTTTGATTCATTTCTTGTCAGTTGTCAGATTTGTATGTGTAGAGTTGTTTATAGTATTCTCTTATTATCCTTGAAGTAATTTCGATTATGTTAAATTTCTTAAGGTTTGTTTTATGGCCCAGGATATAGTATATGATTTGTGGGCACTTGAAAAAGCTATGGATTCTGCTGTTGTTGGGTGGAGTATTTTATAAATTCCCAACCTGTTAGTAGACGGTGTTGAGTTCTTCCATATCTTGCTGATTTTTTGTCTAGTCCTCAGCAACTGTTGAGAGAGGAGTGTTGAAATCTCCAACTATAATGGTGGATTTGTCTATTTCTTATTTCAATTCTATTAGTTCTTGCTTCACATACTTTGCAGCTGTCCTGTTTGGTACATACACATTTCAGATTGCTATGTCTTCTTTGGGATTGATCCTTTTGTCATTAAGTAATCTTATTCCTTGTTTCTAGTGGTTTTCTTTGTTCTGAAGTCTTCTTTACTTAATATAGGCACCCTTTGATTGCTTTCCTTTGATTAATGTTTACATGATATACCTTCTTCTGTCCTTTTACTTTCAAATTTCTTATATCATTATGAAGTGAGTTTCTTGTGATCAGAATTTGGTTAGGTCATGTTTTGTAATCCAATCTGTTGATCCCTATCTTTAAATTTGTCTGTTTAGATCATTTATATTTAATGTAATTATTGATACATTAGGATATAAGTTTGGCATTTTATTTTTTGTTTTCCATTTATTCTTATTGTTTTTCATTTCTGTTCTCTTTTTCTTGCCTTCTTGCGTGTTATTGGAACATATTCTAAAATTCCATTTTGATTATTTCTGTATGTTTTTGAAGTTTATGTTTTAATAAAGCATTTTATTGGTTGCTTTAGGTACTGCATTATATATACACATAACTTATTGTAGTCTACTTGTATTGTCATGTCACCAATTGGAGTGAAGTACAGAAATCTTACCTCTCTTTATGTCTCTTCATACTCCCCTATATATAGCATAACAGTCTTGTATATTTTCTCTACATATATTTAGAACCATAGCAGACAATGTTATAATTCCTGCTTCAACCCTCAAATATAATTCAGAAAGCCTATTGTAGGAAATAATGTTATATAGGAAAAATGTAAGAAAATAATGTAGGAAAGCCTGTTGTATTTATTTAGTTTTTAATATTCCAGGGTTTCTTCTTTTATTGTTTTCTTTCTGTTTAGAGAATTTTCTTTAATCAATCTTTTTTGGACAGGTCTCCTGATAAGACCTTAGTTTTCCTTCATGTGAGAATTTTTTGATATCCACATCATTCTTGAAAGATGTCTTCACTGGAATCTGGTGAACCTATTAGATTCTTGGTTGATAGTTCTCTTCTTTCAGCACTGAAAAGTACTGTGCCTGTTCTTTTTGGTCTCTGTGGTTTATGATGAGAAATCCAATGTCATTGTAATTTTCCTATAGTTAAGTTGTCATTATTCTCTGGCTGCTTTCAATATTTCTAATCTATTAATTCATTTATTCTGTAATTTCTAATGTTCTATCTTTCAGTTCATTGTTTCTCTCCTATGTTTCCTCCTGCTGTTGAGCCCGTCCACTGAGACGTTTATTCCAGTCATTGTATTTTTCAGTTCTCAAATTTCCACTTGGTTCTTTACATCTTCTGTTTCCCATTTTTTATTTGTTTTAAGCATGTTTGTAATTGTTTGTTGAAGTTTGTTGTCCTTTTCAGTTTGAGCACTTCCTATTTCTTTGTATAACCAGTGATTTTTAATTGAAACCTGGGCATATTCATATCATGTATGAAAATCTGGATCTTACTTAACCCTTCTTTTTAAAACTGATTTAATTTCACACTTCTCTGGCAGAGATGTGGGTGGGGGCACCACCACCCTGTTACTATCAGGTGGAAGTAGAATTCTGGGTTCTGCATTCAGCCTCTGTATGAGGATGGGGATTCTTCATACTGATGGGTGGATATGGCAGTGTCATTTCCTCATGTGGTCTCCACTGACACTGTGATGGGGCAGTCTCCTGATTGCTGAGTGGTGGTCAAAGTCCTGATACTCCATTAGGCCTCCTCTGACACCATCCCATCTAGGAAGGGGAGTGGGCACCTCCTTATTGCTGGGTGGGGGTTGAAGTCCCGTTGCCCAGTGGTCTCCATTTGATACCACGAGGGGTTGGCATGCTTGTTACTGGCCGGTGGGGATAAAATTCCTGGCCCCCTACTTGTCCTCCTCTCCTACTAGCCCTCTCGGGTGTTGGAGCTCCTCATTTAGAGTCTGGTGAGGGTGTGAGCCTAGGCTCCCTACTTGGCTTTTTCTGGTATGGATGAGAGTGGAGCCACAGATTTTTCCGTGGTGTTTGTCTGGAGCAGAGCTCTGTTATCTAAAAGTCGGTGCTTTGTTCGGCTGCTCCTTTCCTGGTCCTTGGCAAACTTTTGGGGGCCTTATTTTGATCTGTGCCTGTTGGTGTTTCTGGATTGCTGATCTTTTCAGCGACACGTTTGAGATGTGTGAGGCAAAAAGAACACTCAGGGTATTCACTACTGTTTTCTTTGGGTCCCAAAGTCCCTAGTTGATCTGTCTCATTCTACTTTTCAATCTTCGTATATTTGATTTATAAGTAATGTCCAGGGATTTTATTTGTATTTAGCAGGAGAACTAGGGAAAGGTACACCTGTTACTAATAGTTTTAAAATATTTTTTGTACTTTTAGACTTAATCTCCTCCAGAAGCTTAAGTCAGAATCTCTGAATCATGTTTGGTTCCTCACTTTCCCTCATTTTCCATTGGTAAGTCCTCTTGGCTGTATCTCTGAAACATATTCAGATCCTCTTCTCTCCATGTTCACTTCCATTAGCCAAGGTCAAGTCAGGATTTCCTTCCTAGACCACTACGGATAGTAGTAGTCTGGTTTCCCTGCTTCCATTCTTGCCCCTACAACCTATTCTCTTACAATTATTACAGTAGGGGCGCCTGGGTGGCGCAGTCGGTTAAGCGTCCGACTTCAGCCAGGTCACGATCTCGCGGTCCGTGGGTTCGAGCCCCGCCTCAGGCTCTGGGCTGATGGCTCAGAGCCTGGAGCCTGTTTCCGATTCTGTGTCTCCCTCTCTCTCTGCCCCTCCCCCGTTCATGCTCTGTCTCTCTCTGTCCCAAAAATAAATAAACGTTGAAAAAAAAATTAAAAAAAAAATTATTACAGTAAACTTTAAAAAATATAAACCACTTCATGTCACTACCCTGATTCAGTACCTCTAAATGGTTTTTTATTGCATTTTGAATAGCATGCGAACTCCTTATCCTACTTTGTTAAGTCTCCAAATGATCTACCCCTTGCCTACCTCTCTATCTGTATCTCTTCTACTCCTTTAAGTCAAAATGATCCCATCTTACTTACCTCATTTTTCCTGCTCGGTACTTCTCTCTAGGACCTGCCTCAGGGCCTTTGCCTCAGGGCTATTACAGAGCCCAGAATGCTCTTTTCCCAGATCTTCACAGGGTTCTTTTGCGTATGTGGATTCTGTCTAAAACATCATCTTCTGGGAGAAGCTTTCCTTACCGCCTCTCTTACCTAAGTAACTTTCTATATCAACGCCCTATTTAATTTCCCTATCTATCTATCCCTAATGTTTTCTGGTATATTTGTTTACTAGCCATCAGTTCTCTTCTCCCTATGAGATATAAACTCCATGAGATCAGGGTTATTGCCTATCTTGTTTTCTGAGATGCACTGGAGACACAGTCTCTAAATAATTTTTACTAATTGGATGAATTCAATCAACTCCTAGCGAGCTAGTTATGTACAGAGGTCTATGTTGGGTATAAGATAATTCTTCATATTGGACATATAGAATCTGACCACTGGCCTTTTGTTGTAGATTTCTTGGTCATCTTTTATAAAGCTGGAAACTGAGGCTTGAGGAGACTCAGCACTTTTCCCAACATTAGTGAATTCAGTTCTACCATCATTTACCAAGGGCCCACTATATGCCAGACACATACGTGGTTCCAGGAACACAAACATGAACAAAGCAGGGCTCTTACCCTCTAATTTCTCACAGTCTGGTGTGGGAGACAGAGCAGAAAGCACTAACAATACTACAATGCGATGTATGAATAAACTGTGGTAAACCTTATTCTCAAGGTAGGAACAAAACACTAAGAGATAAAGAAATTGTGTGACTAATTTTGCTGGACGGTTGGATGAAGATTTTGAAATAGCGTGTTTACAGAGAACACGCTATTTGAGCTAGGCCTTCAAAGATGAATAGGATTTTGCCAGGTGCAGAAGGGGTGATAAGAGCTTTCCAGACAGAAGAGGAGAGGAGATGTGAAAGCAGAGGGGCCAGTGAGCTGTTTGAGAGCAGGCTGGACTTTCACAACACTTATTAAAGTCAGCATTAAAGTGAATCTGGCCCAAGAACTGCATGAATAGACTTTAATTCTTTTCTGAGTTAATAAATATTTGATCTGTCTCCAAGAGTCAATGAACGTTTGCTTTGTCTAAGATTTTACTTCCAAAGTTGTTTGTGGTTTTCCCTCAATCAGCCTCTTCTGTTTGAATGAACTGTCGTTGCACCACGTGGAAGTGGGGATAGGATCATGGTAAATTCACAAACGCCCTCGCTTGCTTTTTCCACAGGCTTGGCATGGTGTGGTGGACCGTAGTTAGGGAAGGCTTTCTTACCCTCTGCTGGTATGACCACATAGCATGAAATCCCCGAACTAGGAACTCTTGGCTGTGGATTCAGTCTTGCTGGGCAGAACGCAAATATCACTGGGAAGAGAAATACAGAAAACCGTTATGAACATTAACATCGGCCTGAGAGTGAACCGTGAGCCTCTTCCTTCCGTGCTAGCCAGTGTCCTTCGGGAACCGAGGGAATGGGCACTTGGTTGTAGAGGGAAGACGAGAAGGAGAATATGCCAAATATATGCCAGAAATACACAGAGCTGGGTGCTCTGGTGCTTTTGGCATTTTAAGTTCCTCAACGCTGTTCTAATTTTACAGATTGGGTCACTGGGGCACGTGGAAGTTGAGTAGCTCGACTGAGGTCATACTTCTAACAGTAACAAAACTGAAATTCAAAACCAGGTCTGTTTCCAAAGCTGGATTGCCTCTCGACACCTGCCTTCTATAGTAGGTAGCGTGTGGTCACACGGGGCCGCCCCGCCGCCGCGGGGTGGTGACAGTGAGCATGGTGGGAAAAAAAATGGCCAAGACATAGAGCGGGAGGCCAAAGGTCACTCAGTTCACAGTCACACTTTGGGCTGACCCTGAGGAAGGATAGCACTGTCTCTCCAGTCCAGGAGTTGTCTCTTTGGCCTCACTGATGTGCCACCTATCTGGAGAAGTTGGAGGGACAGAGCCGTTATCTGGATAAGCCGATAAAATTCTTGGCAAAATAAAACTGTACCAGATAACTCTTGTTATCTGGTGCTTGCTTCCTACAGTGTACCTGCGGCTTGGAGATAATCAGAAAACCTTTTCCATCAGATGTCGTATCACAGATGAGAAAAACAGTGTGAAGGAAGGCAACGTGTGAATCAGGCAAACAGTATTAGGTACAGGTGGGCTTAAACCCGTTGTCCCTCGTCCTTGGGAAGGCCGGTGTGATTCTCTGCCAAGTTCCCTTGAACTTGCTCATCCCTTGAAAGCATGAAGCAGGACTCTTCAGGATCTGTCACCCGGAGACGAGGACTCTAGTCCACAGGGAAATGGCCTCCTGGGGATGCTACGCACGTTCGTCGTCCGGAGATTAAAGGAGATTGTGCCGCGCCGCCACACAAAGAAGCCATTGTGCAGCTTGTGGGTAGGGGCGCCACACGCACATGTGCCCGCACACACACACCTCCAGGGTGGCATGCCCATCTCCCCCTTCTTGTATTGTATACACGCGAGTGAGCTGTGATGCCGCAGTGCCTCTGGGGAGTCTAGCCCGCCCCACCCAGCTGGGCTCTCCCAGCATGCAGCGGGGCTGGGAGGTAGAGGACTCTGCACCTTGGGTCAATGTCAGCCATCAGTCCACTTCTGGATACACCGTGTTGTGACGTCTTCCTAAGAACCGGAAGCTAGGTCCCGTCCCCCTTTTCACTACTTCAAGGAGCGAGCATTTTATTCAGTTTCAGTGACATGTACCTTGAACACATCAGTGCTGTAGACTACGTGGCCAAGGAGATGTTGTTGGCTCCTTCTTACACTGACGATAATCACTTTCAGCATCGGGTAGGATCTCCTTGTTCGTTTCACTCCAGCCGCTTGAGCCCCCTTTCTGTTGCTCAGACATGCCTGAGGACCTTGCCTGGAACTCTCTTCCCGCCTCATCTTGGGGGTCATCTGAAGTGCTCGGCATTGGGTTTGCAACTTAGTGACAAGTGTTGTATTTTATTATTACCGGGAGTGAATCTAATGAGAAGGTAATAAAACGTGCGGGCTGAGACGGAGGTGGAGGGCAGGCTGCCTCAATGACGTCTAGTGTGGGACCCGGTTCAGACAGGGGAGCTCTATCCAGCCGATTATGCCCCTGACCCAAATCAGCAGACCAATTGGAAGGAGAGGCATCCGTGATGACGGTCCTCACGGGCACCATGGTAACAGAAGGACCTTACTCGGGTTCACCTTGCCCCCAGTAGCCTCTTGTCTAACTTCCCCGCAGCTCGGGAATCCTGTTCCTTCTTAGAGGGGAGGCAGCAGCCCTCTAGCAGCAAGCTCACGGTGGTTAGCGATGCCAGTGAGTGGCTTTAAAAATCTGATGTGGCTGAGATCACCTTCTCTCATTTAGAGTCTGGGTCACGTATAGGAAGAAACATACTAGCCCTTTATCTACCGTCAATTCCGATTTCATGCTTCCTTCTGCATGCGCTATCTAAATTAAATCTCCACTCCGCTAGGGAGCCCTCTGGCTTCTGGCTCCTATTTTTGGAATAGTAGTGAAGACTCCTCCAGAAAAGGAGGCTCTCGGGCTCCTGCTGTGGTCTGGGCTCCCCCAGGCTCTGCATGTCTGAGGGTTAGTGTTTCTCGTTTTCTTGCCACGGGGATATTTATTGTTCAGCTGGTGACACCAGTGGTGTCTTGAAACTAAGCCCTGGTCCACCAGTAATTCCAGGCCCTGTCCCCAACAGGCTCTGAAGCCAGAGTCCCAAGGACAGCCCTGAAGTTCTGCTTTTCATGCTCGTCTGGCTCTTTTTTTTTTTTTTTTTTTTTTTTTTTTTTTTTTTGCATGAGTAGATAGACTCTCAACAAAGAGTGACATGTAATAAATAGCAAGCGAGAGATCTGTAGGGGTAAGGGGGAAGAAATGGGTGTTGAAAGATTTACATACTGGATTGAGAATCTTGCCGAAGGCCAGCTGTTAACAGTGCTGAGCTCTGTTGCTATTTTCAGTAACCCCTGTGGGTAGAGCTAGGGGCTGGGCGATGCTCCTGTAGGCCAGGTGTGCGGAGGTCTCCCTCACAGGGCTGAAGGGACCTGCCAGATGGGGGCGTGTGGCAGGACCAAGGGCCTGTGACTTGGTTTTCCCTTGGAGTACTTGTCCTAGATGGCCACGGCCACCCCTGGGCCTGGCTCCCAGGGTTGGGCGATTACGCTTGAAAATTCAGGTCCACAAACAGAAACTTCTTTCTTCGGTTCCCCTCAGCAGATCTCGGGCATACTGACATTTTCAAGAGGACTTTACCAAATTCTTCTTTTTTTTTTTTTTTTTTTAGCGTTTATTTATTTTTGAGACAGAGAGAGACAGAGCATGAATGGGGGAGGGTCAGAGAGAGGGAGACTTAGAGTCTGAAACAGGCTCCAGGCTCTGAGCTGTCAGCACAGAACCCGACGCGGGGCTTGAACTCATGGACCGCAAGATCATGACCTGAGCCGAAGTCGGCCGCTTAACGGACTGAGCCACCCAGGCGCCCCTGACTTTACCAAATTCTAAGAGCAAACACAGAACACAAATGAAGCAGATATTGGAGGCAGACAAAGTTCAGCTTGCACAATCCGGGGGTCGTGACATCTGGGTAGCCTGCAGCACTCTGCTGTCCCTTCTGGAGTCCCCTAGTCCCAGCAGCTGACTGCCTCCATGCAGAGGGCACCTGCCTTCTTCTCTGATGCCACAATCTACTTTCCCAGATGTAACTACCTAGCCTCCTTGCCACTTTCAGTTCTTCAAGTTCAAGGCCAAGGGAAAATGCTAATGCTGCCTGTCCAGTAGGGACTTCCCACTGAGTTTTGGGTTCTCGTCCAAAGATGGGTCTTTCTCCAGCCACCTGGGAAGATGGTGCGTTTCAGGTGAAACCTCTGCTTAGAAAAAGCAGTTTTGTTCTTGATGTATCCAAAGGAGGAAACAATAACTAAAAGTGTTCGTTCAAGAACTACCCACTTACAGCTTGGTAGAGGAAGTCACTGATAAACGGTGCTCCGCTGGGAGATCTGAAGAGTGAAGGCCTGGAAGGACAAACTTCCTTCCAGAGTTGGGCAGACTCTCTCTCTTCCTCAATGCCTTTCCCAGAGTGTCTGTTTTGGGGTCCTCCATTCACACATTTAGTACGTTTCTGGATTGTCACCAATTATGCCCATGAGTTTTGGTAAGCTTCTCAGCAGGTGGGTTTTCCACCTTTCATGGGGCAGGAAGAACCTTGTCTCTGGGGGGCAGGGGCTGGCAGAAGGTATTTCCTCAACTGTGAGATGAAGGGTGTGTTGGATGGGTGGGACAGTCTTCCCAGTGCCTGTTATATCTCAGTGAATCTCTTCTTTTCCTAGCCTTTTCTACCAAACCTTGCTTTCTCACTTTTTTTTCTTTTCTTTCTTTTTTTTTTTTGCAATGAAGAAAAGATAGTCTTTTTAATTTTTGTTATTTTTTATATAATTTATTGTCAAATTGGTTTCCATACAACACCCAGTGCTCATCCCAACAGGTGCCCTCCTCCATGCCCATCACCCACTTTCCCCTCCCTCCCATCCCCCATCAACTCTCAGTTTGTTCTCAGTATTTAAGAGTCTCTTATGGTTTGCCTCCTTCCCTCTCTGTAACTTCCCCCGCCCCTTTCCCTCCCCCCTGGTCTTCTGTTAAGTTTCTCAGGATCCACATATGAGTGAAAACATATGGTTTCACTTTTTCTTGATCCAGGACTTGGTCAGCCATTCACATTTATGACATCACCTTACTATCTTGAGGTGGTGCAGTTCCAGTGCAAAGCAAGGAAACTTGGATGTGTTAGTTGACAACTCTGTGTGCCCGCACATGTGATCCCTGGCCCCCCTCCGCCAAGGTGACCTTCTCAGAGGTTTTAAAGGGGACACCAAGTGAGGTGGCTGAAGGGAGAGCTGGTTGATGTGGGCCACAATGAGTCGGCACAGGCTGGCGTGATTGTGGGTAGTGGGGTTGTTATGCCCAGAATTCGTGATCCCCAAAGACCACCAGGGAGCCGAGTCTGATGCAAAAGCAAAAAGAACCTTTGTTCGAGCTAGCTCGAGCTCAATCTCCTACCTGCACCGACGCAGTGGTGATATGCAGTGGTGATATGCCGGGGAGAGAGAGCAAGTTGACCTGAGCTGAAGTCAGACGCTTAACCGACTGAGCCACCCAGGCGCCCCAGAGATCGAGTTTCAAAAGCACAAAGGTTTTATAGGGGTCTAGGGGCAGTTGGTGAGGTAATGGCTGTGGCCTCAGCTGATTGGCTGGGGAAGGGTCGTGGCCTCAGCTGATTGGCTGGGGAAGCGTTGGAGTCCCGGTCTGCAGGTCTCCGGGCGTGTTTTGATCAGGAAGTTTGAACGGGTGAGCGGGAGGTTACTCAAGGGGAGGAGGCGTGGTCTGAGGTTTCTGCCATTTTCCCGGAAAGAGGGCATGTCGGGGACATAGTCACTCAAGGTGGAGGACACAGAGTCCGCCGGCATAGGTCCGCCCTTTCAAGGTATGAACCCAAGAGTTATGCTTGACAGGTGTGGAGAGGCAGCAGGGGGGCAGGGCAACACTTCAGGGGGTGGTGCTCTGATGGGCACCAGCCCATCAGATGTGACCGGCTGTGTCAGGTTGTGGAAGCCAGAGATGAAAACAGAAGGGAATAGGTTGTGAACGTTCTCCGGCGCCAAACCCAGGAGCCCGGACTACGTTCCAGAGACAAAGGGGAGCCTTTGGAGGGATCTGAGCTCTGAACTAATCTGATGAATCTGCCTTCAGGAAATCGGTCTGGCTGCAATGTGTTAAGCCGATTATATTAATTTTAATGACAGAGTTGTAGACAGCAGTGTTTCGAATGAGGAATTCATAACGTGTAAATAGTTTATTTGCAAAAGCATAGCTCGGACATTATGTTGTAATGTAAGGCAGGAGAATATCGTAAGATGCTACTGGATATATGTTTGTTTTTTCTCCTGGAATTCACTTCTGACTCTTCCACATTTAGGCAATTAGTTGGTCCCAAAGGCCTGCGCCCCATGTCACTGCAGAACCAGGGCCACGGGACTCGAAGGGTCTTGTAGGCAGCACCCCATTGCAAGTGGACAACTCGGTCACAACCAGAGGAGAAACCCTGTCCCACGGCAGCCTGGCACTGTGAGATTCCAGAGCTGTGGCCGAGCAGGAAGCCTGCACTTGTCCTCCCGCGTGTCTCCTCCTCTCTCATGCGACTGTCACACTCACAGTACTTCTGACACCAGGTGCGGCCAGGTTTCTGCACCAAGCAATTCTCCGACACCATCTACCTCCAGGTAGCACCCTATCTCACGGGCTGAGGGCTCAGTTGCCTGAGATTGCCCCTACTTCAGACGGCACTGCACGTAGTAGGTCTCCGGGTGACCCACACCTTCTGTCTGCCTTGGCTACACATCAGAGGTTCCCATGACGTCCTCCGCCTTGGATTTGATTGTTTCCTAGAACAGCTCACAGCACTCCAGAAAACACTTACTTATGTTTACCTGTTTACTATATAATAATGGGTGTGCTAAAGGACACAGATGAACAGCCAGATGAAGAGGCACCTAGGGTGAGGTCTGGGAGAATCCTGAGCGCAGAAACTTCTGTTCCTGTGGATTGGGCTGTGTCACCCTCCTAGTATGTGACGTGGATGTGTTCACCCACCTAGAAGCTCTCCTCACTCCATTCCTTGGGGCGTAGGCACGATCAATTATTAACTGCATATCCAGCCCCTCTCCCCTTTCTGGAAAATGGGGGGGGGGGGGCGGTGGTGGTGGGAGAGGGCTGAAAATTCCGAGCTTCTCATCATGGCTTGGTCTTTTCTGGGGACTGGACCCATCCAGGAGCCATCGAGGAGTCCACCAAAAGTCACCTGTTTAGAACAAAAGACACTATTACTCAGAAAATTTCATGGAATTTAGGACATCTGTGTTAGGAACTGGGGTCAGAGACCAACGATTAGAACAAAAGTGCTTTTATCACTCAGGTATCCACGAGGGTTTTAGGAGCTCTGTGCCAAGAACAGAGGCAGAGGCCAATATTTTCTATTTTCTATTATCTCACAGCGGCACACCCCAGGGAAAGCATCAAGAAGGAGTGCTTCCACTTTCCCAGGAGAAGGAGGATTTAAAACAGAAACCAAGTGGGGCGCCTGGGTGGCTTAGCCGGTTGAGCATCCGAATTCAGCTCAGGTCAGGATCTCATGGTTCGTGGGTTTGAGCCCCGGTCAGGCTCTGTGCTGACGGCTCAGAGCCTGGGGGCCTGCTTCAGAGTCTGTGTCTCACTCTCTCTGCCCCTCCCCTGCTCACTCTCTGTCTCTCTCTCCCCAAAATAAATAAACATTAAACAAAATAAAAAATAAATAAAATAGAAACTAAGTTGAGTTATAAAAAATAAAGTTATAATTTTTGACACCAGGGTGTATAGGTTGATGTTCATACCTAATACAAGGTCAATTTAGCTATCGTGACAGATAGTAGTTTACATGGCTGTTTGAGTAGCTGATAGAGGCAGTTTGCTAGGATGATTTGCAAATCTGGTAGGGATTTTAGGCCCTTTTCCTCAGGGTGATGGAAAGAGCCCTGGGCTTAGGGGCTTTTACGGTCCAACACTGCCTCACATCAGTACCACATCTGTAGGCTAAGATTGCCACAAAAATACAGGACACTCCATTAAATGTGAATTTCAGGGGCACCTGAGTGGCTCAGTCAGTTAAGCGTCTGACTTCGGCTCAGGTCATGATCTCATGGCTTGTGGGTTCGAGCCCCATGTCAGGCTCTGCTCTCAGCTCAGAGCCTGGAGCTGCTTTGGATTCTGTGTCTCCCTCTCTCTCTGCTCTTCCCCTACTCACATTCTGTCTCTGTCTCTGTCTCTCTCTCAAAAATAAATACACATTAAAACAATATTTAAAAAATGTGAATTTCAGATAATGAATAATGTTGGGGACATACTTATACTAAAACATTATTTGTTATTACCTGGAATAAATTGAACTAGGTATCCCGTGTTTTTCTCCCCTTATGTCTGGCCCCCTTACTTAGGGCAAGTCATTTAAACTCTTGGAGCTTTGGTTTCTTTGTCTGAAAGATAGTGAGTGCTTTGCTTTATGGTGCTGTGCTGATCCCTGCAGCAGGGGGGAAGTTTTTCTCCACCTTCTTAGGGTCCCTGGCTGGGTCCAAAACTTGAACTGACAAGGGGAAAATCATACAAATTTATTGAAGATAACTCTCACATGACATGGGAGACTTCATAAGGAGAGGAAGGCCCAAAGAATCGGCTAGATCTGAGTATTTTTACATTAGATGTGATGAAGAGTGAACAGCCATGGAGGACTATGTTAGAGTGAGGTGTAGGAGGTAAGTGTAGGAAGCTGGGAAAACCTAGGGAGGCTTGCTTGTTAGGATTTCTCTTCAGGTCCCTTCTTCAGAGATAAGGGTGCTCCTTGCCTCCAGTGACAGGGGAGGGCACCTCCCACAAGAGGGTTTTATGACCTGTTTCCAGAAGGATGGAGGGAAGATCATGGTGGCCTTCCTGTTCAAACTGCTTCAGCTTAAAATGTTGGATATGCCAAGGTGCCACATTTTAGGGTAGCATGTCTGGAACCCCATCATTCCAATAGTTAAAGTGATCTGGAATCTATAGTCTTATGCACTCCTAGAATAACTCTGGTCTGTGTGGAGTAGGGCAGATGCAAGTTTTCATTCTACTTAATAGATGTGTGTTCTTGGATATCCATCATAGATAGTGATATCTATCTCATAGTGTACTTATGAAGTTTAAATGAGTTAATGAATGTGAAGTGCTCAGCTCTGAGCATGGTACGTTGTAAGTGCTCAATAAATAATACTTAGTTACTACTGCAGGTGCATAAATATGCTGCAACATTATCAGGCTAAATCAGGAAGGCTTGCTGAGTGCTCTCTCTGCACTAAGTGCTGCTGGGCACTGTCTTTTCCTTCCAGTTAGTAATCAGAAGAGGACAGAAATTGGCAAGTTTAAAAGGGGAAGCAATTTACACCTCTTCCTAAGTATGTTAAGAGACAGAGATAACACCTTTGTGAATATTTTTGAAGAGTCTAAAAAATTTTCCTGAATCTTGGTCCATTCAATAAACTCCAAAGAAATCAAAAGCTGATGCCTACATTTTACCGCAGGTAAAAACATCCCTCATAAACAAACTGGGGGTTCGATGCAGCCTTAGATGTATCACCACCCCGAGGCTAAAGCTCTCCCTGTTTATTAAACCAAACAGATGCAATCTGGGTCACAGCATTAGCGAATGGCGAGCCAGCCTTGCCTGGTGCTCTACCTCCCTGAGCACAGAGGGAGAAGAGAAATGCATCAAACAGAGCTCATCAGAGCAGTTTCGAGAGAGGCTCGGATACCTTTCAAAAGAAGAAAACATGAAGATGTAACCACACGAAAAGGTAGAAATAAAAGCTAGGGAGTAGTGGCAACAGAATCATCAGGTTTTAGTTTTGAGCTTGTTTAAAAACTGGGGGTATTTGTGTAGCTGCCTCTCCACTCTCAGTGTTGGCTTTTCAGGGACCTCAGAGACTTACTGGAGAAGGGGACAGATAAGCAGGTGCCTAACCGTCAGAACCTGCAGCCGGCAGACAAACAGAAAACCACTTCCTCCCCAGTCCCTTTTCCGAAGCCCTGAGCCCACCCGGACTCTACCTGCAGGTTTCTGCAGCCGCTCTCCTTTCTCCCAATCTTTCTAGTGTTTTCTTTACCGACCTTTTCCATCCCGAAGCTCTCACAATCCAATCTCCGTGCCGCTCGCTGCCTTGTGAGTCATTTTTAACATTTGGTAGGTTTCATTGCTGAAATAATCATGTCTCTCACGGAATGGAGGTGCTGGGCCATGGAGTCGAGTGAAGTGAATATCTGTTTATGGGGTGAAGAACACATTTACATCAATCACAAGCTGCATAGTCTGAGCTGACATATAAGATGCCCCTTGGGAGTGACTGCTTTTTTGCTTGTTTTTTTTTTTTTTTTTCAATTGAAGTACTTGTCATTTCATTTCATATTTCTTTAGATGCAATCAAGGCATGTTAGTGAAAATGCATGAGTCAAACATTTCTTTAAAAAACAACTGCTTTCAGACAACATAGCCTGTGGAAGT